TGTTCTTTTGATGAAATTTTGGGTCAAAATTTGGGCGTAACACTTGAAAATTTTGTTTGGGTTTGTTTGGGTTAACTTGATGGGCCATGGGCCTCACCAGTTTGGATTGTCACGAGCCGCCACTGGGTCAACATTTTGAACAATTATTGTAAACCATAATTTATTTGATAATAAAGCAAAATTAATAAGTAAACAGTGATTTAATTATTGCGAAGAATAAAAGTATCAAACAGTTTTTTTGCTCTACAGCCCAAATGGCTCATTGCGGACATATGTTTATGTAAACAAAAATGCTTGTTTTGATGTCCTCTACTACCCCTTTAAGTTTGTCGGTATCTTTTTGGGACACCCTGTATAGAGATATTCCCTTTTCGTCGCCCTGTTGCTACCCCGAGATCCAGCGCGCCTCACCTATTCAACCGTGACGGTACAGTCTATGTAAAAATAAGTAGGTACAGTCGGAAGATAATTATTTGGAGAAATGAAGAAATATAATATTTACATAATTACAAATGCAAAAAAATACTTATACCTATAAATACAAATACAGATACCGATTAGGTTTCGTACCCTACAGTTGCGAAACTTTTTGTAAGGGTAGAAGCTAGTAGATACCTATTATAGATATCTAGGTACTCCTTTAAACTTAAAAAGCTACATAACATGTAAAGGAGTAAATAGGAGCTTTAGAGAGTCGAAAACAGTCAAAAAATATAAACTTAAATATAGATAGATACAAACGAAAAATACGTAAAATAAAACAGGTACAAAAGACGAAAAAGTGAATAGGAACTCTTGGCATTCAAAAATAATAAAAATGCCACACATAGAAAATTCAAAATTTCAGAAATCTAACCAGAAAGTAGTGAAATATGACTTAGAGTCAAGAAACTCTTCGACTGCATCATACTTAAAACAAAATAATATTACCTAATAAAAATATGGCACGAGCTGAAAAGCTTGTAGTGCATGTTAAGGACACTTTCAGCAAAATATAGGAAAAAATTACAAAATAATATCTGAAAAATAATGATATTAAGATTCTTTTTTAAATTTTTTGGGTATCAAATCAATTTTTATTTGTTCATCATCAGAAGAATCATGATGCATTATCCCTTCAATTTTATCGTCCATATCGTCGGTATAAAAATAAGATATTGAGCGTGATAAACGAGCAAATTTATATGAAAGTAGTATGGAATTCTTAATTCAGGGTTCTGAACAACAACGTTCATCAGATTTTATGAAGGCAATGCGAAACGACAATTTTAAACAGTCCTTGATCAAATTTTTATGTCAGTTTTGGTAAAATGATATGTTTGTTGAAATTGTAAGTAATAAAACTATATATGTCAATTGCAATAAAGATTGTTACAAATCTACTGTTGTCTCAGGACATATACATAGAGAAATTGTTGATACCTTCAAGTGTTTCTATGAAGAAGCTGACAGCCGATTAATCTTTCATTTGTCAAAAATTGAAGCAAATACCGCAAATATTAATGCGGTAGTTCGTGGTTCTGACACTTCTAGGGAATCTACACAAAATTAATAAAAACGTCGATGTATATGGTTGGAGTTGCATCTGAAAATACCTGTAGATTTGTTGACGTGACTGCAATCTTTAATAAATTGGGATCCAGCATGTACAAATCTCCACCATCTTTTCATGCTTCTACTGGATGTAGTTATACCGCATCCTTTTCCAGAAAAGGCAAGCTGAAGCCTTTTGGTATAGGACCAGAAACTACAAGAAGTAGGTACTATATACCGGGTGAGGCACGGAAAACTTTCTACCCAGGTTTTCTCAGGTGCTAGGTGTTTAATCAAGAATCGCTCTGATACGTCAATTTTTGTTTTTTGGGGGACATATTTTATTGGTATTTTCACCCCGTACCTGTGAACCCCTAAGTGGGGGTAACAGGTATCCCCAAAATTTCAAATGGAAAGAGGGGTCGAGTGATATGTCATTTAGTAGCTATTTTCGTTGAGAATATATCCCTGAAGTTTTAAGTTGCTACTATCAACCCTGCCGAAATGGCGGCATGTCAAAGGATAAATGCTTTTTTTTGATAATCTAAGCTGTATAGTTTTTACCTGTCACACCTATGCGTAGGTAACAGGTAAAAACCACATAGCATTTTTCCATTGATTTTTCCTAACTTTGACAAGCCGCCATTTCGACAGGGTAAATAGTAGCAACTTGAAACTTCGGGAATATAATTTTAATGAAAATAGCTATCAAATGACGGATCACTCGACCCCCCTTTTCATTTGAAATTTTGTTGGTACCTGTCACCCTCACTTAGGGGTTCACAGGTAGGGGGTGAAAATACCAATAAAATATGTCCCCCAAAAAACAAAAATTGACGTGTCCGAGCAATTTTTGATTAAACACCTAACACCTGAGAAAACCTGGGTGGAAAGTTTTTCGTGCCCCACCCGGTATAATGCTGGCATTTCGAAAGAGCAAATTGAATCTACAGAAAGGTTTATCTGTGCAATGTACGGAAAACCCAATTTGTGCAATATCAATGATGCTCGATTCGATATTTTTTACGATCATTGTAACCCCAAACCAAATTAAAGTCCGTTCAAGAATCTTAACAAGGTTTTGCATGGTGGTAACATCGTACTATCAAAATCAGATACATAGTTCTATCAAAAAAGATACTAGATCCCAATTTATTGAAGACTGCACTCACGTCAACAAATCTACAGGTATTTTTGGATGCAGCTCTAACCTCCATTCATACATTGACGTTTTTATTAAGTAATTTTGTGTAGATTGGTTTGTCAGTGTTAGATCCACGATCTACCACATTAGTATTTGCGTTATTTGCTTCAATTTTTGACAAATGATAGACTTCTTCATGGAAACACTTGAAGGTATCAACAATTTCTCTATGTATATGTCCTTCGAACTCGTAGGTACCTATAGAAATTTGATCAAGGATTGTTGAAAATTGTCGTTTCGCATTGCCTTCATAAAATCTGATGAACGTTGTTCAGAACCCTGAATTAATAATTCCATACTACTTTCATATAAATTTGCTCGTTTATCACGCTCAATATCTTATTTTTATACCGACGATATGGACGATGAAATTGAAGGGATAATGCATCATGATTCTTCTGATGATGAACAATAGAAATTGATTTGCTACTTTGATACCCAAAAAATTTAAAAAAGAATCTTAATATCACTATTTTTTAGATATTATTTTGTCATTGTTTCCTATATTTTGCTGAAAGTTTCCTCAACGCATGCACTACAAGCTTTTCAGCTAGTGCCATATTTTTATTAGGAAATATTATTTTGTTTTAAGTATGATGCAATCGAAGAGTTTCTTGACTCTAAGTCATATTTCACTACTTTCTGGTTAGATTTCTGAAATTTTGGATTTTCTATATGTGGCATTTTTAATATTTTTGAATGCTAAGAGTTCCTATTCACTTTTTCGTCTTTTGTACCTATTTTATTTTACGTATTTTTCGTTTGTATCTATCTATATTTGAGTTTATATTTTTTGACTGTTTTCGACTCTCTAAAGCTCCTATTTACTCCTTTACATGTTATGTAGCTTTTTAAGTTTAAAGGAATAGATATCTACAATAGGTATCTACTAGCTTGTACCCTTATAAAAAGTTTCGCAACTGTTCTATTTTTTTTATGAATATGTTTTATTTTGTAGTTTTTAGGTAACGCACGTCTCTATAATTTGGCCAGAATTAATCATTTTGTTAATAAGTTTGTAGTCATTTATTAAATATTTCTTATTTTATGCGGTATTAACAATAAAATCTAAATTTTCTAGAGCGTCTGCAACTTATTTTTGACCATCTGCCGAATTTTAAAAAATATTTGTTTACTCTACACACAAATATTTTTCATTTAAGCCCAAATTTGCATATGTAAAGTGTGTTTTTTTTTAAAGATAATTCCCCACGTCAAAAATCTAGTAACTATGTTGGCAACACAAGCCTTTTCTACATAAAAAAATTGGAAGTATTGACACTTTTACATTATATTGCCAACATAATGTCATTTTGACTTTTATCTTTAAAAAAAAAACAGATTTTACCTCATGAGGTAACTTACGTCAGATTTCCGGCGTCGCGGCGGGCGTCTGCTTTACATAGGCGTCCAAATATCGACGTCTGCCGGCCAAATTAGGTATCTGGGAGCTTTTCCCTTACACATTCTGAAATTTTTAGGCATGTACCAATGGAGTGAGAAAACCCAGATTTTCGTCTTTTTGACGAGCTGTCATTTGTGAAGTTGACCGCTGGACCCCGGCAGACGGCCAATTTTGAGATATGCACATAAAGTACTTTCATCCAAGAAACTCGAACCTTTTGTACCCGATGAGGTGACTTATTTGCTTCTCGGCCGTAGGTCATATTTATCAGCCATTTGAAAATATTCGGGTCTACAGCATACTGTCATATTCCATCAATTTAAAGGCAAGTTAGATTCGAAAAAAAAAACAGTGTACAAACTAAGGTAAAGATGCTGAAAAATAGAAACAGACATGTGATTTTTAATGAGAATGAATGAAATTTTATTATAGAAAAGAGAAGAGACGCGTTAGTAGAACAGAAGTTGAGGTGAATATAGAAGATAGTGAAAGTGAAGATGAACAAGAGAAAATAGAAGAAGAAGGGGGATGCAATTGCAATATAAAAGACAAGAGATAGGTAGGTACCGACCAGATATAGTGAATAGTGAATTTGAAATGTACAATGTACGTAAAGTCTTATGCAATATCATAATATGTTGAAGACCGGCAGAAGAGTTGAGTGATAGAAGGGGATAAAAATGTATGGATAGACACAATCAACGTCCATAGAAACCCCTCTAAAAATAATGAAATCTTGAATAAAAAAATGGGAATTTCCTAATATACCATTAAAAGAATAAATGAGAGATAAATATTAAGCTCGATTTGAACTCCTACTATAACCTATAAAGCTTACCTAGTTTCAAACTAAATTAGGCAATATGGGAATAAGCTTTATTGAAAAGGTATAAGTTCATAAATATATAAAATACAATAATATTAAATTATAAAAGTACAAATTATAGAAGAATTTTTGTGCGCTTAACATAGGTAAAGAATTATTATGTCTCAAGCATTCAAATTATAAAATATCTTTTCAGCTTTTAGAAAAAACCACCCTGAAATACCAGTTCAAATACCTACATATAGAGTGAAAATATTGTTGAATTCAAAAGGGACTCCTTTGCATTTGATTTAAAAAAAATTGCGTCGCTTCTGTAAACAAAATTCACATTTATCCAAAAGCCTATTTTATCAAGTACTCTTTTCGTTGCTGCTCAAGCATATTTTCCAAATAAATACATTTTTCCTGGAGGGCTTTGTGCTCAATCTGCAACTCGTTTAAAATTTCGTCTTTGCGAGCTACGGACATTTTAATCCTGAAAAAAAAACCGGGAATCGATTTAAAACGAGAATATGTGTGTGTTTTGCAAACAAACTAAAAAGCGACGCTTTCACCAATTAGCCAACTAATTTAGGCTTACCTGGAATACAATTGATGTATTTCCTTGTCTCTATTATTCTTCAAATGGGCAACTTCCCTTTGTAAACTTTGCACTTCTTCATCCATTTCTTTTCTAACTAGCCCCTTCAAATCTTTTCGCTCTTTTGTTAGATTACCAGCTAGCTAAATGTAAAACATTAAAAATAAATATTGACAACTTTATTTGAAACTGAGAATATTGTAACCACATACTTCTTTTTGATCTGCCAGTTGCGTTTCCAGTTGTTTGACAGTAGCTCTCAGTCCAATTACAACTTCTTCATTTTCCAACAATTTGGTTTTGGACTCGATAAATTTGGATTTTGATTCTTTTTCTGCCATTTCTAAGTCTTTAATTTCTTTCTCGTATTTCTCCCTCAAACGCCTGATCAAAAAAACAATATTAATTATGCATAATAAGAGAAAACGGTATCAATTTTGAGAAAAACAGCCACAAAAGTAGAAGAATATTGTTAGCTATAGTGTAGTTCAAATGTTCGTATCTGTAGGCAACATCAACTAATTCTACCAATGCACAAAAGTTCAAGTCAAAATATTATTCACCAGTTTTGCTATATCACGTTGGTGTCAGTTGAATCTGTTGCTGCATTATTGGGAAGCTTATTTAATGTTATTCAAATTTTACCTGATTCTGTTCTCAGTACTTTGTTCCATCTGCACCTTGTTCTCACTCGATTCATTTTCCAGTCTTTCTATCACATTCTCGATTTCCTTGTCTCTTTCCCTCCTACACTGTTCCCTTATAGCGGCCTCTTTTTCCAAAAGAAAGTTGTTCTGTTCTTTCTTAAAATTAGCTTGCCAATTCTCAGATTCCATTTTTGAAGCTTCTTTTAGGAGTTTCAGTTCATTTGAGTGTCGTCGAATTAAAACCTGAATCCTGTCTTCATACTCTTCCTGGGCCTGCTTGATAGCTTTTTCCTTTTCAAGTTGAACCTGAGCTTCTCTTTCCTCACATTCTTTAATTCTGCTAGCGTGATCAGCGTGCTGTCTTCGCCTTTGTTCTTGATAACTTTTTTCTTCTGATTCCACCAATTTTTCATACCTTGAAACCAAAATTAGATATGAATGATTCATTATTAAAGTAAATTCTAGTACCTTTGCCTTATAACATCTCTTTCATGAGCCAATGCCTTTTCTCGCTCATCCACTAATTGTTCTCTTAAAGTTTCACATTGTTGCTGCAATTTTCTGGCAGCCTTCAGTTCCAAATCCTCTATTTCTCTTTTGTGTAAAGCTCTCAGATCACTGAGGTCTTGTTGCTGTCTTTTCTCCATGTTTTGTATTTCTGGCTCGATGCTTTTCACAGTCAGCTCCTTGATCTTCTGCGTTTTTCCTTCAATCCATTTTTCTCGTCTCAATTTTTCCCCAGCAGCATGCATTTCTTTAAGCTTTTTTATTTCCACATGATGTTTATGCTCGAGAGCTTTTGTGTTCGTGCTATATCGATCTTCCAAAACCTACAAACAATTTTAAAATATGAAATAATGAATCTAGGTATTACATTCTACCTTCATCTCTTGAATTAAGCCTTCACATTGCTGATTTAAAGATCTTTTATCAGCAATTAGCTGATCAATAAATTTTTGATGCCTTTTAACAACACCTTCATATTCGTCTTTTTGTTGTTTTAATTTTTGTTTCACTAGCTCTTCTGTTTGTTTATTTTGCTTCATTACTTGTTCTCTCAGATTAGATAATTCATTTTGTAATAAGGAAATTGAGGAGTTTTTATCTTTTAAACGTAAATTTATGTCGATTAGCTGATGGGAGAGTTCTTGTTTGCTTAGCAGTTCTAAATCGTCTAATCTATAAAAATAATTAAGTAAAAGATATTAATATAAAGTTAAGGTTATTTACCGAGGAACAGAATCCAAATTAATTGAAGACTCAAGCATTTTTGTACCTAAAACAGCCATTTGATTGGCTTGGCTTAGAGTTTTTGAACTGCTTCTATCCATTTCATCCAAAAACGATAAAAGCTCACTAAAATATTAATTCAAAATTAAATACCTATGTTTTTACAAAAAGAATAAACCTACTTATAATTGCGGTCATTTTTTCCACCAAATTTGTTTCTAGCATCAAAATTAAATAAATCTTCTTTATATTTATCGTTAGCATCATCGTTGCTGAAACAACTATCCGGAGTTTCAGTGTTACTGTGAGATTCAAAATGTCGTTGAGATACTACTGGAGAAAAAGTAACGCATCTTTCGCTTGCATCTTTGGATTTGGTGGGTTCTGCCGTATTATTGTCATTTAATGTATTGGTAGTTACATTTTCTTTACTATTGGTTTCCTCAATGCGTGGATAATCGGTTTCTTCAGAGGCATAATTGTTTAGCGTGTGATCGACAATTTTTTTGACAGAAGCAATTTTCAAGTCTAGAAAAAAGTTCGATGAATAAATACATGATGATATGGTAAATTACATACTACTAAAATTTATAAGGCAAAAATTTGAATTCAATAGACCTTAAATATCAGACTTGCGATTGATTCCCGTCTTACGAAAGCGTTCAATTTCCTCTAAAAAACAAATCACTATCGAGAAAATCTGTAAACCCAGGCTTGATTAGTTCCCGGCAAGAATCAATTCTGGCCTGAAGACACTGTGCCTGCAGACTCTAGCGTGAGAAACAGACTCTTGCAAGATGTACTTATATTAGAGACAAGAACGTATGAACAATACAATGTTTGATAAAGTTTGTGAGGCTTTCGCGGTCCAGGTTTATTGATAAAATGTTTTCATACGGGCTTAATGGCCGTCGTAAGTTGGAATTTCTTCCTGACGTTTCGCTAGCACGCATCTTCAAAGGTGCTTCCATGTCCGATTCTGGTAGCAGACTGACGCGTTCCCGACCGCAAGTTGTATTTATCTGTGAGTGGTTCTGGTGGGGGAGGGGCGGGGCTTCGCCGCACGTGGCTAATCCGAACTTTCTCTGTACTCAATGGGATTTTTCTTGCGTTTTCGAGGATCGGGTTCCAAGTTTGGTTAAGTTTTAGTGTTTCATCTTTCCTGTTAAAATTCTCCGTATGTTTGTGGATGTCTATAGTTTCACGTAGAAGACGATTGTGGTATCCGGAAGTCGGTGCAAGAAGCTTGATCTCACTAAATAGTATATTTCGTACTTCCCTTCACTAAGAGCATATTCCGCAAATACCGATTTTTCCGATTGTTCTAGTCTGCAGTTTCTTTTATGCTCGTTGATCCTCGTTCCCATGGATCTTTTTGTTGTTCCTATGTACGTACCTTACCACATGTGGATGGTATACGATAGACAGTGGGTTCCTCTTATCCTTGGCTGATTTGATTGATTGCTGTATTTTCCTTGTTGGCTTGAGGTTCCTTTTTATATTGTGTTTCTTCAAGACGTTCCCTATCCTGTCTGTCATCCGAGAAATGAAAGGCAAAAGAATATGCATTAGTCACCACTGGTTGTTTATCATGTCGCATGACCCTATCGATTTCAGATGCATTGTATCCATTTGATAGAAAGGCCGACTTCAGGTGATCCGAGATGTTGTGACTCGCAGATGTTCCGAGCACGTTTTGTTAACGTTGTTATAATTCCACGTTTTTGCCTTGGATGGTGGTTTGAGAGTGCATGCAGGTACCTGTCTGTGTGAGTGGGTTTTCGGTATACTCTCTCGCTCAGTTTTCCTCCAGATTTCTTTATGAGTATATCTAAGAAGGCGAATTATTGGTTTTTCTCCTTTTCCATGGTAAATTGTATGCTAGGATGTTGCGCGTTCAGGTGGCCTAGGAACTGGTTAAGCTTCTCTTCCCCATGACTCCAAACCACAAAGGTATCATCTACATATCGAAGCCATACCGTTGGTTTGTGGTCAAGAGATTCGATAGCTTTCCTCTCGAATTCTCCATAAGGAAGTTGGCTATGACCGGGTTGCAAGGAGTTCCTGAATTTTCCGGTTGTAGTCTTCAGTTCTTAACAGGACAGTGACAGTAGCGTTGCCCTTATCGGCAGGTAGGATGATCATATCTTCGGCTGAATTCAGGTTCTTAATTGCTAACAGCTAACTTTCTACGAAAGGCTCGACCATCAACCAGTAACCTCTCTAAGAAAGAACTAATGGCAATTGAGAACCTGAATTTAGCTACTGTCCTGTTAAGACCTGAAGACTACAACCGGAAAATTCAGGAACTCCTTGATCCATCTACCTACCGAAAGCTAAAGAAGGATCCCACCGAAGCCATACTACGGAAAACAAACAAACTGATTAGGCCATCTACACTAACAGACATGGTTGAGAAACGCATCATAAAAATGGAAGCGGTTCCACCACGACCCTACGGCCTACCCAAAGTTCAGAAACCCGAAGTCCCGCTAAGAACCATTAGTGAGTGCACCTGGAGCATCAACGTAAAACCTAGCGAAACATCTTGCATCGCTTCTTCAACCGCATGTAGGAAAAACTAGCTCTTACGTCAAGGACTCCACTTACTTCGTCCAAAAAATTAGGGATATTATTCTCCAACCTAAGGATATCCTGGTCAGCTTTGATGAAGAACGGCGATTTCTACGAGCAAACGGACGGTGTGGCTATGGGGAGTCCGCTCAGCCCGGTCATAGCCAGCTTCTTTATGGGGGATTTCGAGGGGAAAGCTTTCGAATCCTTTGACCACAAATCAACGGTATGGCTTCGATATATAGATGATACTTTTATGGTTGGGAGTCATGAGGAAGAGAAGCTGAATCAGTTCCTAGGCCACCTGTCACCTGAACGCGCAACATCCTAGCATATAATTTACCATGGAAAAGGAGAAAACCCAAGAAATCACCTTCTTAGATGTACTCTAAAGAAATTTGGAGGAAAACTTAGCCATACCGAAAACCCACACACACAGACAGGTACCTGCATGCATTCTCAAACCATCATCCAAGGCAGAAACGTGGATCTATAACAACGTTAACAGAACGTGCTCGGAACATCTGCGAGCCACAACATCAAAACGGACACACGACAAAACGTGGATGAACAACCAGTGGTAGCTAATGCATATCTGCCTTTCATTTGTCCGGTGACAGACAGACAAGAAAGTCTTGAAGAAACATAACATAAAAACGTTCTTCAACCCAAAAAGGAAAATACAGCAATCAATCAGATCAGCCAAGGATAAGAGGAACCCACTGTTGGCGCTGGAGTCTATCGTATACCATGCACATGTGGTCAGCTGGAACAACAAAAAGATCCATGGAAACCAGGATCAACGAGCACAAAAGAACTGCAGACTAGGACAATCGGAAAAATCGGCAGCAGCGGAACATGCGCTTAGTGAAGGAACTCACGAAATACTATTTGGAGAGGTCAAGCTTCTCGCACTGACTTTTAGATACTACAATCGTCTTGTACGTGAAGCTATAGAAATCCACAAACATACGGAGAACTTCAACAGGAAAGAAGAAATACTAAAACTTAATCGAATTTGGAACCCGATCCTCAAAAACGCAAGAAACATCCCATTGAGTACAGAGAAAGTTCAGATTAGCAACGTGCTGCGAAGCACCGCTGCGGTCGGGAACGCGTCAGTCTGCTACCAGAATCAGATATATGGAAGCACCTCTGAAGATGCTAGCCACGCGTGCTAGCGAAACGTCAGGAAGAAATTCCAACTTAGGACGGAAATTAAGCCCGAATGAAAACACTTTATCGATGTAATGTTTTTCAACTAGCACGCGCCAATGGTAAGATCGCCGAACTATCAAATATATCACTGGCACCCCTTCGATTATAGCAAAACCGCAACATACCCTGACATTTTGGACTCATCCCAGTCCTCTGTCTCTATAGAAAATTTTACCTGGTTGGAGATTCACGTGGAGGCGGTTCATTTAACAGGTTTGCTGTCAAGCAGCTGAACCTTCCATTAATCTGTGACAAGGTGCCGCTCATCGACTTTTCGGTTTGCAAGCTCACTACTCATTACTTTGTATCAAACACATACACCTGTCTGAGTTTAGCGAGAAACTACGAAGCAATGATGAAAAAAATAAAGGCCTAAAATGCCTAAAGCCAAGATTCAGCAAAAATATGAGCATAAAAAATGGAGATGGAACGTAATTATTGGACAAGAACGAAACTGCTTGAGTTATGGAATGCTTCTATCGACCTATACATACTGTTCAAAGGAAGATCCTAACGTGGCGACACAAATCAGTAATAATGAACCAAAAATAGAAAATGTCGGAAAGATGAAGTGACAGCTAAATGATGATACAAGGAAGAGGCTAATGCAGAGACTATTCAACATATGCCTGAAGAGTTCGCGAATACCAGAGAAATTAAATTATAGCCTCATAGTTCTGCTCTTGAAAAACAGGAGATAGGACTGACAACAAAAACTAGGTGCCATTCCATATCGTTATTATCGTGTTCATGAAAATCATCATTAACCTCTTCTAAGAAATTAGACTGGTCTAGATATGGCACTCAGTCGCCGTCGAGTCATCATCCATCCCGTGTCGTTCGATGATAACAAAAGCCCGCCGTTGTCCAAATATAGTGTGGATTTATTTATCCAAATAGCGGACAAAAACAACAATGTGGAAGAAACAAGTTAAAAATCGACCGATGCTGGGGCTCGCCCCATAACCATCACCAAGTTGAGAGAACATTACTTCCCTCAAGGTATGTCCTATTCACAATCCGTAGTCCAAAGGTAAAGGTAAATTTATCACCTTTCCCTATCAAATAGCATTGAAAGGTGATACATTTTACCTTAACCTTTGGACATCAGATTGTGAATAGATAATAAATAAAGATGCGAAAAACAACAAACTTAAGAAAAAGGTCTCTGGGCGACAATAAAAACACTGAAACCTCAGATCTTATAAAGGCGATTCTACCAATATCTCGAAAAAAGAAAATGAATAAATTCACCATAGCATCATGGAATGTAAACGGACTTCGTACACGGAAAAAGGAAATGAAGCTTTTCCTGGATGAACACCAGCCGCAGCTACTAGCATTACCGGAAACCAAGTAGGCTGTCGGCAACAGGATGTTTTTCCAGGACTACTGTAGCTGACTTCGTAATGGGATTTTAGTGCAGTGCTAGTGCGGTGTTCGTGTAGTGCAGTGTTATATCACGTGATGAAGGTGTAATGCGCGGTGTAGCACCGAATACACCATCATAATGTTCCGAGTAGACGGTGTCCCACCATCTTCACACCATCCGGGCAGCGTATTTACATTCTATACTATTATACAGATGGATGCCATTCTTTAACTTAGTATGATTTGTATCTGTGAAACGCGCGTCTATTTACTCCAAATCATACCGCGATACAGATGGACGTTAATCTATAACATAGCAGGATATGAAGTTAAAATACGCACCTATTTCTACTCCAAATCATATC